TGATAACTTGACTTATTCCTGGTGCTGAACCTTTTATACTAAAACACATAACGCATTCCATGACTTAATTAAGTGAAATACAACCTGTAAAGAGTGAATTTAAAGCCTTTACTCTTTTTACGAGGAAGTGTTAATAACCTCTCGCAGTCGCCTAGAATGTTCTTTACACGGCTTCGCGATTTTTTAAATAATTTAATGGATCTTTACTACATATCCAAATAATTTTCCTCTTACAAAATGGTTTTGAATAAATTCTGCATTATTGCTAAAAGAGGTTATGATCATTTTCTGAAGGGGAATAGAGCTATAAATAAATTTAACTGACTACAGCTCAAGGAAGGGTTCGACAGCCACATTTTTATTAGTAGCTGCAAAAGAGCATTCTCCCTAAAAACCAAAATGTTTTTATCTTTGAAATAACAGCCGCCATATATTCACCCCCAGCCAACTGTAGCAGCTAACAATAGCCATTTTCTCCACTGTGGCATTCATAACGTTCCGATCGCATGTAAAAGGAGAGGAAATCGTATTTTGCGGAACTTTATTTTTCTTCTTGGGTATAATAAGAACGACTAGCATTCCATTCATAAAAAATACGAACGAATTAAACGTGTGCATTATACTGGGCAAATATATCAAAGGAAACTCTTGTGGCTTAAAATACATCGTCGTGGGATGTTGCCTGATAGCAATCAAAGAATCAAAATATATTAAAGTACACATGGCAACCAGGTGGACAATCAGACATGGTTTGATGTTACTCTGGTTTACAGATTTAATGAATGTAACCGAATAAGTTACAATTCATAGACCCAGCGTTTCGACACTCCTGTCTGGTGCCATCATCATAGGTGATCTAAACGCTGCAACAAGAGGTCCTTTTATATGATCACTAATTAGCTGCCTTTTTTCTGACGAGGAGTAAATGGGCGTCAGGAAGTAAGCCACCATCATCACGATATAAAGGAGCGTGGGCGGTGTTAATATGCCAAGCTTCCAAACAAGGGCGCCGGTGGTAACGCCGATTAGTGGTGATAATTTTAGACTTATCCCTCCCAATTGTACGGTTAGTTAGGCATGTGTGCTCCGCTAAAGCTGAATTTTTTTTTTTTGCAAAAGAAAACCGCTTTCTGATGCTCTTTCAAAAGTGTACCAAACTGACGTTTGGTCTGTCCGATGTATTCGTTGTTACCGTCATTGCAAGGAATAGAATAAATGGCGTCGGTTCGTTGTTCTTTCGAGACAGGATCCTTAGGTTTGGCAAAAATATGCCCCAAGTTTGCAAACAGAATTTATATGCCTTTTTAAATCTTTCAACCACAGCCTCCCTCTGGTCTGTTTCCTCTGGAAATTTAAAATTCCCTCCTCCCCCACACGATTCCTTTACTTTCAGACTCCAGTCAAAAGAACACCACTCTGCCCTAACCATTTTAGAGTCATTAAAACCGAATGAAACTTTGCTCACTATATCTAAATTGAATTAACCTTAAACTAAATGGAGTGAAATTAATTAAATCTAATCGCGGAAATGATATTGACTACGGTAATTGATAGTATTACGCCTCGGTCATATCCTAATTCACGAACTTAAAGCACAAAAGGTTTAAGGTTATGTAAAAAAAATTTGGGGATCTTATCCTTTGAAGAGCACTTGAATGTACTTATTCATTTCAATAGACTCTGAGAGACGACTAGGTCATGGTAGGTAAGCCCTTACTTAAACGTAGTATCCAGAGTACTTATGTCCTTTATCCTCGACGACTGCTTTGATTGCGTTTGCTCTGATAATAGTTTAAAACTAGGCGTTTTTTTTTCGCTCTACTAAGCTTAAATCACGGGGTCATGGTAGGTAAGCCCTTACTTAGACGTAGTATCCAGAGTACTTATGTCCTTTATCCTCGACGACTGCTTTGATTGCGTTTGCTCTGATAATAATTTAAAATCTGGTGTTTTTTTTTCAATCTACTAAGCTTAAATCACGGAATCGTTAAGTAACTTCATGTAAAGATTCCGAATAAACAGGTTTCAGAGAACAACTGGATAAAAATCAAGGTTATTCATGGTTATAACTGTTATAACTGTTGCATAACGTACTCGTTGAGAACAAAGGTGTAGCCATCACAACGCTATCATGACTCATTTGCAGGGAAAGAGCTGAGTAAAGAACAGACTATAGGTTCCAATCTATGTATATTTTAATCTTTTTGACTGTCTCAATTGCATCTCAAGCCTTACAACTTTAGGTCATTCGTTTTCCCGTTAAGAGGTGTTGTATCTCCCATAGAACAGACACCATAGTGTCCTGGTTAAAAGAAAAAAAAGGCTTTGCTTTTAAGGAGATGACCGAGATCAACGAATTAAGGCTTTATAACCGATCACATTCTTACTTGGAACTTACAGATCGATAAGATTACAAGAAAGGGTAACTCAGGGTTAGGATTATTCACAGGTACTTGTAGAGACCTGTAAGAGACCTTGTGCTGCACCTTTGTTAAAAAGCAAATACATGTAGAAAACAGCTCAGTAGCCTGGTCCCCCAGCTATTAGCAACAATTCAAGACTGGATTAAGTACAAGTGTCAGCAAATTCATCCTGAGATACGCAGACCGTTTATAACTGTTATAACTGTTGCAAAACGTACTCGTTGAAAAATAATGGTACCTATGCGTGTTTTCACACAGCCTTTAGAGGTTTCTACATTAATTTTCTTTCAGACAAGGAACTTTACTGTAGGCTGATAAGCTTTTTCCATGGACGAACTTCGGCTTGAAAAATGTTTCAAACTTAAGCAAATTTTAACTGATTGTTCATATGTGGAATTCCCTTATTCTTTACGCTCGAGTCTTTCGATGAATCTAGAGTAAGGAACCTTTTACTGAGCCCGCAATTAGCTCTTTCGTAGAATTTTGTCTCTTATGGCTATTTTTACTGCTATTGTATTTTTTCCTTATTTCTCAGCTGGGTTGAGAGTGATATCCTTAATGGATTAAGACTCTCTTAGTGGCCATTTAGGCTGTCATACCACTAAATTTCAATAAATTATCACCCTTATCACTTTTTTGTCATGAAATTCTTAATCACTGTTAATTAAATGTGGAAACTTAATATTACGCCGAAAAGTCACCGGATATGCTGAGGACAATTTTTTACCTGTCAAGTTCTGGCAACCTCAGCACAACTGTACTCAGTTAAACTCACATCTTCCAAAGAACATTAGTAGACTTTTCAAATGAACACTTATATAGAGCTATTCCTTTGAGCAATTAACTATTTGGACTTTACGGGCTTCTGAGAGCGAATGGTCCATATATGATAAGCCCTTCACGCAATATGTAATATCAAGGGATCCGTCATTATCCTCGAAGGCTCCTTCGGGTTGATTCTTGAAAGACAATACTTTAACATCAGGTGCTTTTCACTCTACCAAGCTTGAATGATCAAACTCACGAAATAAATTTACAAAACTTCCCGAAAAAAGTGAGGAATCAGTGACCAAATGGGTTCTGAAATGACGAAAAATTATGGCCAACCATGACATCAGCTTTCTCGTTAAGACCCGAGTTTCTTAATGAAAAATCGCTTTTCTTAAATGGGACTAAGTGTAGAGCAAAACAAAGGTTTCAATTAAGGACTTTTTTAAGAACTTTACTCGCTTCATACGCTGTGCAACTTATGGTTAACTGGTTCTCTTCTTACGTGTTGTTGTGAAGAACGGATTACAGAGGTTCCTGGTTGATAATGCAGGTTTTACCTGGTGTACTATACCATCCGGCCCTCCGCGAGAATCTATTTTGGGAGCCTCTCTCTTTTTGTCTATGCAAATGCAGAGCTGAAAACTAGACGGAGAGAGCTCATTATACCGCACCTAAGCTTAGTGTCTATCCCAATGACTGCTTAACTTTTCGGAGACGATCTGTCTAAGCAAGTCAAAGATATCTCCGAAGTAAACCGTGTTGGCTGGAAAGTGACGTCTACCGCGTATCACAAAAGAGTTCAGAGCCACTCTCTTTTTGGATATAAATCTCAATCCTCTGGGGGAAGAGGAAAGTTCTTCCTTGATAGGGGAAAAATGACGCATTTTTAAGGCTGGCGACCGACCGCAAGTCTCGGTCCTGTCTCTCAGAGTTCAGATTACCCCAGGCTGAAGGGTCAAAGTGAACCCTGATTCTGCAGTCTACTAGAGGTAAGTTCAAATATTAACTGCATGGAACCAGATTTTACGCCAGCAGGTAGACTTAAATATTTCCTTCCTGAATGGCGAGAATTGACATCTGACCCACACATTCCCCAGACAGTCAAAGGTTTTAACGTTGAGTTTCTTGACCGCTCCTTACACAAGAGGAAAAGGAAATTCCGTTTAATCCGCACAATAAAGTGGGTTTTCTGTTATACACAGAAAATTCAATTGTCATACCAAGTCACCAATTGACATTCTTGGGATTTATCTTAAACTCGCTCAACAAGACAACTCAGGCCTCTAGTCAAGAAGTCTCAGAAGTGATAGGCGTAATGGTTTCTGTATTCCCTGGGGTTAACTGTGCCCAGCTCCTTTTATAGAAGCCTACAAATAGATAAAATCAAAGCTTTGAAAGAAAACAACGGCAATTTCAGTTCACTGATGGTGTTGAACTCAGACGCTGGTTCAACAATATATCAGAAATTCAATCAAGTCTGTATCAGGTGGGAATCCCACACTTTCCATATACTAAGATGCCTCAAAAGAAAGGTGGGGAGCAGTGTGCAATGCAGACCAAACAGATGGTCAATGGACTGAATATGAGTCTCACCGTTACATTAATGAGTTTGAAACACTAGCTGCTCTTTTTGCACTGCCACCGTTCTACTTCTCTGTGACAAACTGTCATGTTAACATTTACATAGATGATATCACTCCAGTAGCCCTTGTTAATTCGATTGCAATTTTTGGGTCGCAATGAGATTGCACGTGAGATTTGTACTTGGTGAATTGCTTGAAACCTGTAGGTAACCATTGTGGACGAGGGGAAAGGTACAAGTCAGTACTAATCCTACCGAAAAAGATGGCTTAACTTCTTCGTAAAGAAGAGTTTAGTTCAGATTGTTTCTCTTTAGGCCAAGTTATAGAATTTTTACTGATGTTATTTAATGATGGGCTTAGCTACAGTAGCATTAACACTGCCCGCTCAGCACTTACATCTACACTCCCCTCAATACGTGGATTTCCACCTCATAGTCATTAGGTTTCGTAGGGGAGTATTGGAATCTCACCCTGCCATGGCTCGATATACTGCAGTGTGCGATGTAAACCAAGTTCTAGATTGTCTGGAGAGTCTGTCTCCCGTATGTGACATTTTATTTTAATCTATGAAAGATAATAGAAAATTAGTTTTAGCCAAGTGCCTTGCCTGCTCAAGAAAAGTAAAATGCTCGCCCTGACAAAATGAACTTAAAAGGCCACTTAGAGGCAACAGCCTTGAAAACGTTATACAGTATTCTGGTCCGAACGCAATCAGAATACGGAAAAATAGTCTGGTCACTCTAAAACATAAGAAAACATTTAAGGGCTAGTAAAACCATTTCATTCTGAAATCAGGTAGCTGTTACTAGAATTATTTCTCTTAAATATTCGCTCTATATTTAAATATAGAGTAGTTAATCTTTTAATATAACTGAAGCTATCTTACATGTATTTGTAAAATTACACTACTAGTGGCTAGTTTTGTGGGAATAAATTGTTCTTATGTAGGTTAGGTTACAAGCAATTTTTCTTATCTTCTCACCCCTTATCTTCTGGGGTACTTCATTTGAAAACATTTTGAGTCCGTTGCTTTGTGCCATTATTGTTATTACTATCAATCATCATCAAGTTAATTAACGTTGTTGTCTTTACTTCTATTTCAATGCATTTGTAAAACTAAATGCTTCTTCACTGAAGAACAGCCAAAATCCTTATCACAATTGTGGGGACACTTTCCTTTTCCCCCCTGCTCAAAGTTGATGACAGAAAAATTGGATTTTATGAAAAAATATTGGGAGGGTAAGGGCATGTTTCAACAAAACTAAACGAGGGTTGGAAAATTCATCATGAGATTTAGAGTTTTGTGTCCTCAATGTCAGTTTCTTCCGTCTTTAAGGTCCAATTACTTGCCGTTGAGCTAAGGTTGTTGAGGATCCGCGAATTCATATTGGGTTCCGACTTGCCATGTGGTTCCTTTAATAAGAGTACTAGAGCTCTGCGGAACCTGTTGACATATAAATAAAGAAACTGTTTTTACATAAAGCGGCTTAGAAACGGGCAAAATTTGGCAGTGCAATTGAAAGCCATTTTTTTGCTTATTGAAATTCCTTTTTCTTTTTTTTTTCCGCATCGTTCTTGTTGTCGTCATCTTCTGGTTCTTATAATCCCCTACTGCTGTTCATTGTCAGTTTAGAAGTGAAGAATACACCAAACGCAAAACTGAAAGTAAGGACAGTTTAGAATAAAGGTATCTTCTTCCGCTTTTGCCAAAACAGGATTCGTCAATGTAAACACAGATTGACAAAAAGATTTAATTTTGCAAGAGTCTTCGTAAAGATAAGAATCAAGTGTCTTCCCAAAATTCCTTGAGCCACCGCTTAGCCCCATACCCCACAGACTGAACTTACCTTGGAGCCTTTAAAGCATAAATGATAGGATTCACCATGCAGTTCAGTTTCATGAGAAAGAATGCGAGGAAGTGAGGCCAGCTACCGTGGCTTCTCACTATGTTGTGTAATAACATTGGTATCACATTCATACAGAAAAACGCCAACACTGTTACACCAACTGTCTTCGCGGTCTTCACGTCGTTTTCGATTTGAATGTTTACGGAGAAGAAAGTCAACAAACGCTTTTTATGACTACGCACCTTAACCCAAATGGCCACTCCTAAAGTGAGCATTAAAAAGAATGGAACCAAAATTCCAGGGATGATGAAGTGTCTCCCGAAAATTTCTAAGTAGGTCGTCCTGTAAAGCAGCACCGGAGCGTCGCCTAAATCAATATCCAATCCAATTGTAAACATGCCATATGTGTATAAGGCCGCGAAAAGCCATACAAACAGTACCGCTACCTTGGCTTTTTTCTTTGTTTTCCATACATGGTAATGTAAACCGTGCACAATAGCCCCAAAACGGTCCATCGCCAGCACCGTTAGGTTGAACACGGTAAGGTATACAAAAAATACATACCATGTGACCAGTATCCAGGAGATTAAACGACCCTTAAGGAAGGGCACTTTACAAATGTACCACAAGATGAAAAGAGGCATGTTAGTTAGTGCATTGAGAATGTTAACAGCAGCTAAGTTAGCGATGAGGATGTTGGGCACTGTTCTCAAAGTTTTAAATCTGATAAGTAAGAGGCAAATTATGCCGTTTCCAACTATAGATAAAATCATGACTATAGCAATCATGAGAATATTTGAAATTTTTTTCGAATCACGACATGAATGTAACTGAAAAGTTTCATTCATCGTTTAAGACTGTCCGTGCAGGTTAAACCCCGCCAACCATAAAACTGCAAAGGATGATAACCTCGCCCTCGATCTTCACATCTGAGGTTGCCTTGACTACTCTTGGGATATTTTCTTTCTGATTTGATGCTCTCTAAAACCAAAAAAATGAGAAAATCAGCTGTTGGATTATCAAACAAAAGGGCTTATTTCAAACGGTTTTAGTTTTCGACCTTTAGTTGCAACGTTTGCTCACAATTATATCAGAAACAGAAAGAGGGCTAAAGGAAGACACGCATTGTTGTCAACTTTTGAGAATATAACGCAGAACGTATTACGTTTAATACAAAATGTGACATTCCAGTTGCTTTTCCCCATTACTTGTGTACAGAATTACAATTAGCATGATCGTCAGGTGAAGAAATAAAATTTATTTTTGCCGCAGCTTCAGTAAAATATAAATCTTGCTAACGACCTGACAACAATTGTATTTATTACTAAAGGTTTGAATTGTTTGCTTTAAAGAGGATAAAGGGTAGTTATATTCTAATCCCCCTTCCCGAACTAAGTTATGGAGTGACTCCCGCTGAGGCAATCTCGCGGAATTGCAATTGTCAGAATAGTACATCTATTTGTTTTGAACAACATACTTACAATATGAAAAAACAGAGGAATCCTCCTTAAGAAAAGAAATGTATCATCACATATCCGATGTTAAACGAACGTGCTGACTTTTTTCTCTTAATTCATGCAGTGATGTACCATAACTATCCGATTTTAAACGAACGTGCTGACTTTTTCCTCTTAATTCATGCAGTGATGTACCATAATTAGACTTGAACTTGGTGAGAATGGTTGACGAATTTCTTTTTCCACTTAATGTCCTGAGTCAATATAGATAGTTCATAAAAGAAGTCCTCTTGAGAGCCAAACGTGGGCGATCACCTTTTTCGTTTCCTTGTTTAGTCTGTTTCTGCCTTTTTCTCCCTAATATTGGCTTGAAAAGATTCATGTCGCACATTAGATGTCAATGCTTTTAGGGGCAGGCGAGAGGTAAACACCACATTCTCGATGAGATATGCGACCATGGTTGAATTAAAATTATCTCAGATCGTTCGAAAGGTAGGCTGTTCGCATTAAAAATTTATTTGAATTCGTTTCCCTGCGTATCTTGATTTCATTTGTGAGATTGCCTCGGCCGAAAGGTGCCTTTTCGTACTACCGTAGACATGACATGATGAATGATAGAAGTGGTACTAGTTGTATTTCTGTCAAGCGTCCACCTTCGTCGCTTTTCAAAACTTCTCATGGGGCTAGGCTCTTGCACCCAATTTAACTTGAATTATCAGAGAGCAAAACAACTCAAAGAACAGTTCTCTTATACAAAAAGGGTTGTAACTGATCAAAGGAAAAAAGTCAAAACAACTCTAAAAAATGCCCTTTAAATATTAATGTTTTACTTCTTGGCTTACATGGAATTAATTTTCCCTGAAGGCGTTTTGTGCACAACATACCATAGTCTCAACTACTTTCGTTCTTTCTTCAAAGTGACGTATTAATTAAGGGAAAATAATCAGGACTGGTTTCTGCGAAATGTTATTCAGTAAATGCAATATAAATACATTTGACCCTGCGGTTACGTTATTTCGGTTTCAATTCTTGGTCTATAACGTTTCTTGTGTTGTGCAATCGAAAATACGGTATGGTAAAGATGACATTAAGAAATTGGCCTCCGGTAAAGTTTAAAACAACGCCATATTGGCGAGGCAAAGACCGTGAGAGGCGGACGGCAACAGTAAGTTAAAAGTTCCCACTCCTAATGCTTACTATGATTAGCACAATTTGGTTTGGAATGCTGAAGCCGCGATCGCATGGTCGATTCATTTGCGTCAAAGCGGCTTAGAGTTTGTTTTATTCTTCTTTCAGTTGCCGTCCGCGTCTCAAGTACTTCTCTGCTTGAGTTCTTTTATTGTAGCATCCCACTATCATATTTGAAAAACATTTTGCTTGTTTACTCTGAGAAAATTTAAAGTGTAAAAAGAGGTACTTTACTTACTTCATCTTTCATCTTTATTCCTACACTTGAACGCCACACTAGACAGTAGAAACCTTAACATTTCCAGTGCAACTGATCTCGTACAACGTCTTCCGCCTTAAATTATATGATCATCTGAATCTTTATTCAAGAAGAAGAAAGTTAGTGACGGAACGGTTACAAAGTTTTAATTTTCTTTTCAAAGTGGCTTTTTTTTTCTTTAATGGATAGGTGCCAAAACTAAAGAACATCTGCGTGGTTCACAGAGAGCTTCATGCTTTGAAAACTTCAAGTGATAAGAAGTGCAGGATGAAAGGCAAAGAGGTTTGTGAATTGTCTCGGCGAGACAGTTGAAGAGATAAGACAGGATTTTCAAAGAAGTAAGAAAAATTGACTCTCCTGTTTCTCATCCAATCGTTTACAAGTTTTACTGATAATTATTAGCATGTGTAAATAAAGCCTGAAAGTTAATATTGCCACAAGCTGAAATTAATATTCATAACGTGGTAGCAGAAGGAAAATTTTTTAAGATGCTAATTCAAGGAAAGAGTTCATTACGGACCCTCATTCGCCTCTATAGAAACCTGTGTCAAACAGAAATGTTACTTTTAATTGCTAAGGTAACCTTAGGGAAACCTCTAGATTATGGATCAAAAGTAAATATATACGATCTAATTCGTCTAATATGATTTTCTTTTTAAAGGTTTGCACAATGAGCTCTATCCCAGTAACAACTCGACTCAGTCATTGTCACATTTAATATGATTAATGAACGTCGAAATAATCTTTTAAAAGTATCATTGCTGTACGATATAGAAAAGACAGTGCGCAATGAGAATTTATCATCATGATTTAAACAGATGAGATCTGGGGGTGAAACACATCCACTTTCGATGTGAAATTCCTCGTTGTGGGGCTGAGATACCATCCGATTCTTGTGTGGCTGGGACTTTCCCTGTTCTTAAAGTTATGAATCTGATAGGTAGGAGGCAAGTTCTTCCTTTTCAAACTAATATAGTTATCTATAAAAATGACGATTTTAACGGAATTTCGTTATTTGTATTTTTTTCTGAAATAAAAAGATATTTCGCCAAAAAAAGTATACAGTGATTTTAGTTATAGCCTAGCCTATCTAACATTAAAATAAGAAAGAAATCGAATTTTCCATCCTTGCCGCAATATGTTTAATTTTTACAGACAATTGCTCTTAAACGTCCGGCAGTTCGATATTTCCCATATTCCTCTTCGAAATCCAAAAAATATTTACAATCTTCAAGCGCTTTCAGGTAGCCTGAAATTTCGAACTTGATATTTATCGCTAACCCTGTATACAGAGTACGAAGCCATCCAAGCGCTTGACACTTAGAAACTTTTCAATGACACGGCTGGACACGGTCCTCAAATAACTCTACATTTCTCTTTGAAATATACCGATTTTTCCTTGAAAAATATTCTACCTTCATTTACAATCCTCATAGAAAATTTTCACTGGACACTAGCAGACACGGTCTTCTAATAACTAAACGTCCGGCAGTCTGATATTTTTCCATATTTCTCTTTGAAAAATACCAATTTCTATTGGAAAATATTTTAACTTTATTTAGAATCCTCAAGCGCTTCTAGAAAGTGAAAAAATTCGAACGTTGTCCTTTTCGCCGACTCTGTTCACAGTGTGCGAGGAGATCCAAGCGTGTCACTTCAAAAAATTTTCTTCGGATTCTACCGGACAAATTTCAAAATACTGCAAAATGACGAACGGCGAATATATTTATCGTAAAACAGTTGACTATATGTCCAGGATGGCTCTTGAGAAAGACGATTTCAGAAGGTTTTCAGTAATCTGGGTATTTCGTGTTACAGGAAATTGGTTCGAGGCGCGCGTTTTAAAACGATGAAGCTAAGATCAGCAACTTGGGGCTTATTAATGCTCAAACACTTCCTTAAACACACTCATTGATAAATTACCTGTATTAGTTAAGCAGGCAATACACTACGCGATTTTATTCGCTGAAAACAGCGAATTTAATCACCGGCAAAAATTGACAATATCTGACATGACAGATACTGACGATTTTGGATGACGATCGGCGAAAATCGCAATAGGGCACAACTGGTGACAGACAAATTCGGCTAACTCACGCGTGAGATTGAATTGGGTGTTTACATTGCGTGAAAACGAGGCTCACTTTGGTTTATAATTTGGTTTTATCAAACGAGTCGATAATAAAAGTGAATTAACTACGACAAAAGAATAAAAAGCTGACGTTTCGAGTCCTAACCCTTCACTCTGACGAACGACTAACCCTCGAAACGTCAGCTCTTTATTCCCTTACGGTGGTTAATTAACTTTATCAACTCGTTTGATGAAGCCAAATTATTTTCATATATCTCCACCGACGCAGCATTATAGTTTCTTTAAAATAAAAAAAAATTGGTTTCTTTCAAAATGGCAGCCGCTTGTACTTGTTTTGTAAATCACCTGGGTTGCTGTGGTAGCTTATTCACAAAAACAGCAGACCTGGTCGAAATCCTTTAGAAATGTTCCAAAAATTTAGTCCAACAACTCGGTCTTTGAGGCTTCAGCAAAGCAGAAAAAAGAATGCTGGCGAGAAAAGCTTTAAGTTTTTCGAGAAGGGTATGTTTGCGATATTTACGCTTGTCAGCAGTCAGAGGATTTCTACGCTAAAGCACATCACTATAGATCTTTAAGGAAAAGCGAAGAACCTCGTTTTTACTTCTTTGACTGTTCGTCTAAAGGAGGTCGCGGTGGACATTGCAATCACATGTATTCGCATTACTGTTCCAGTTAAATGATTATTCATGGTTTAACATTGAAGACATCCTGAGCGATGCAACTTGTACAAGTCTTCCTCAATCTTGGCATATTCCAAGAGCAACCTCTATCTGCCCGTTGCCAGGTTTGAGGACCCATTATGCCTGGTCATAAACGGACCGAGATGGGGAAAGGTCAAGAGATCCTGAAAGAAGCAAACTCTACGAGCCAGTTGCTTTAAGATGTGGCATACAAAGACAAAATGTGATGAAACAGGTCGTTCACCTGAGCCAGAGGAAAAGCTCCCTCCATTTCCCTATTTGTTGAGTGATCAAGACCAGGTTTATGAGTAAACACGGTGTTAGGAATCTTACTCTTAGGCGCTTGCCTTGGATATCAGCTCCAAGATCATGGTCGACACAACCTTTTTTACCAATTCACCAGGGTATCGCTCCTCAAGAGAATTAAGTCCCTCAATGTCTTCCAGACATTCCAAAAGTTCATGAGGCACTCTTTGATATAGATGAAATTCGAGTTTTAAACCATACTGATTTAGTTCCCTTTTTATATAACATGTACTTCTGGACTTAAAGGAAGCTCAAGCTTTGGAAAGGAGAACAGTCTTTTAGGGTAAACAGCTGAATGGATTGATCAACACAACTATAGACTCACTACCTCTAATTTTGGTAAAGTCTTTTTCAGCGTTCAAAAGCCATATGAATCGATGCTAAAAAGTATGTTTGACACAAAAGATTTGGCCAATGTGAAAGCTATTTCACATGGCAAGGCAAAAGAGAAACTTTAAACTTGCGAGAACAATTTATGCCAGAAATTGCTTAGCAAGTACCCGTTTTTATGATATTTGATGCTGGACTATCAGGTCATCCAACGTACCCATATCCTAGAAAAGGCTCTGGAAAGGTGTTTGACCCATCCACAGATTCTCAATATGGTTTCCTTGAAATAAAGTTTCGAAAAAAGGGAAACATTAGAGCAAGCAGGTGCTGATCCAAACTTCTATGTTGCAAGGAAATTTTAACTCAAGAAAGAGCACTCGTGTGGTTATTATACTCAACTACAGGGACAGTTGGCCCATATGGATTTAAAGTGGTGTGATTTTTTAATTTATGTGTCAGTCTCTAGTGAAATGTGTACTGATAGAATTTCTTATGATACAAACTACTGGGTAAATCAGCTCTTGCCAATACAATCGCAATTCTACCTGCATCTTGTACTACAATTCTTTCTTGGTTGGGCGATGAGAGTGAACAGTTGTGATAATACGGAGGATGTCATTCTTGTAGATACAATTCAAACAACTCAAAACTAGTTGTTCTGAGGGTTGGCCAGAAAAACCTCAGCTCCCTGGTCCACATAAAGTGTTCTGGCCCGAGAAAAATGACTTCACAGCACAACATGGCCTAATGAGGAAGGTAAACCTACTGGTTGTCCCCCTGTCCATGAGAATAGATGTCCTAGACAGGTTACATGATGCTCACCATGGCATTAAAAAATGCTGTAAGCTGACCTATTCGAGTTAAAAAGTCATCCTACCTGCTTTTCATAGACTATTTTTCTCGTTACCTAGAGGTTGCGAAACTTTCAAATACTACTTCGCCAGGTGTGACAGCACACCTCCAGTCTATGTTGGCAAGACATGGTATCCCTGAAGAACTCATCTCCGACAATGGGCCACAATTTTCATCAACCTCATTATCCAAATTTGCCGAAGACTATGAATTTACTGACATCCTTACTAGCCCCCGATACCCGATACCTTCGACCCTTACAAAGCACTGATGGCTTATCGTGCCACACCCCTCGAAAGCGGCCTAAGTCCGGCAGAACTGCTAATGGGAAGGAAGATCCGCACCAGAATCCTCACCTCACCAAATAATCTGAAACCCTCTTGGCCATACCTTGAGCAGTTTAGAGAGAAAGACGCTTCTCTAAAAGGAAGACAGAGGAGAGACTTTGACAGGCGTCATTCTGCGAAGACCCTCCTGGATCTCCTCCCCGGTGGACGCGTTTGGTTGCTGACAAAAACGTTGAAGGTACTCTGGTAGAAAAGGCTGGCCCCCCACGTTCTTACACAGCTGAAACTCCCAAAGGGCAACTGAGGAGAAACAGACGCCATCTTAGTGGTCTCCCTGAAGCACCTAATACAGATACCTGCACCACACTTAGCTCGTCTTCACCTGATGCTCAGACTGCTAGGAGCCCTGCGCCAACTGCCCTAGCTACAGCTGCCTCAATGCCTGTAACCCCAAGGAGGACCACCCAGAGTGGTCGTGAAGTACGACCCCCGGAGCGTTTCAAAAACTTATGACTGTGAACCTAAGCGTTCATCTTGTGTTATGATGTTTCAGAACTTTGACCAGTTGATACAAATATTTTTCAGTTTATGACTTTTGAGCTGATTTTATGCGGGCATCGATTATGTGACCATTGATTATCTACGATGTAGTTTATTTCTTACTCGAGGGGAGAAGCGGTGTAATTGGTTACGTAATGTTATTTCCCAGTAGCCTTTAGGGCATGGGGGAGACACCTCGTGGTCGACCCGGTAATGTTTTATAGTTGCCTGATTAAAGCGTTGTGTTACTGTACTTATCTGTTTTTTTTTTTATGGCCCGATAACACCACAGCAAGCACTGGGTTCTGGAAATTAGAGAGAAGACATGCAACTGACCGTATTTGACTAATGCTACCACACATAGTTAAAGGAGTTATGGAGTGAAATTTGCGAAATTTAGGGAGGAATATTTAGTTTCAGATCAAGTTTTTTCAAGTCATTGTGTATATCAAACCACTTGTCTGCAATTATGGTTCCCCCTTTTTACTTCATCCAGCAATTAGTTTCTGTCCTAGAATTTCTAAGAATTCAGATCTTTCCACAATTTGTTTATCACTAATAGGACCCTCAAAAAGCTGAGAGATAGATAAATATAATTTCCCCTTTAGCATCAACACCAAGGAGGCAGTTTAAGGTAGTGTGAGATTAGGATGTGCTGTAAGTCTCACTGCGTTTCTGAAGAGCACTAGGAACTTGAATGTTTAGTTCTGTAGCGTCAATGATCACAGTGTTATTTGGATACTATTCCATGAACACTCTAGGTTAATTATTTCAAAATTAAGTCGCTGT